ATCAACTTCTCAAAAGGGCTGTGTCTACATTTAATAATCACACTTGCCTTCCCTTTAAAAAGCATCTATTTGTTTCTAATACTTTTCTTTTTATTTATCATACTGTTACCTCTATAGTGTCAGGGCTTTGGAGATTCTAATTCCTGGAAACTAGCTGGTACATAGGTATCCAGTAAACAGTTTGCCTGAAGCTCCTTGCTGGTGCATCTCCGTTCCTCCCAGCTGAGAACTATCCCTGACGGTTACCAAGACTGGATGCATTCTTCCCGTCCCTCATATAGCACCATTCTTAAGCAAATTCTGAGGGGTTATAACAGTAGACACACAAGGCAATACTAATCACTAAAGCTGTTCTAGACTTAGTTTAGGTGTAAAACTGGACTACTGGGGGTGAACTTAAGCATCAAATTCCCATTGCCTGGTGGGACTGTTTTGTTTTGTAAGGAAAAAATACATAGAGCTTTTGCTGGAGGGCAAACAAGGGGTGGTATATATGCCAAATTCAGAATTTTCCACATTAGTATCTTTCTTGGATAGTACATGTTAAAATAAGACAGGAAAGTAACTTAGCAGACCTCTTGGGAACAGAGGTTTTGGCATTATAAAGGTCACATCTGTACCCCAAGGGAAGTGCATAGAAAATAGCATCAGGTTCATTCCCTAAAGCCCATGACTTGAGCCATTTGAGGACCATGTTAACGTAGTTGGTAGACAATGTAAAAAAGATAAGGTTGATTGGGAAGCAAAAACAAAGCAGACAAATCTTCTTTTCAGAGGAAATAAAACTGTAATTCCAATTTCTAAACCTGATCACAGCATAGGAAATCTGTCTGAAGTGGATGTGTAGCCTGGAGGTCAGCTCTGTCAAGTAACCTTATTCACTCCCTGTGTCCAGAAGGCCTGAAGCCTGGTGCTTGCCAAGTTGATTTGGAAAGTGTTATCCCAGATACTGCATGTCAGGGGTGGTGGTACAGATGTCTCCTAGCTAAGAACACCTGCCATAAGGTTTGAGCTGTTGAACAGCAGGCATGGCAGGAGTCTGCTTTCTTTGGTGTCACCATTTCCTGTGATACTGAGATTGGTGATACAGGATGTCCTTCTATATGCTGCAAATATGTGTTATTTTTATTGGTTGATAAATAAAGCTGATTTGGCCAATTGCCAGGGAGAATATAGCTAGTCAGGAAGTCCAAACAAAGACACAGAGACCAAGTAGGCAGAGTCAAGAGATGCCATGTAGCTGTAGAATGAGTAACATGCTGGAGCACTTCCAGTAAGCCACAGCCGCTTAACAATACATAGATTAATAGAAATGTGTTAATTTATAAGACAGATCTAGCCAATAATATATTTGAGCCATTGGCCAAGCAATTGTAATTGATATTAAGCCTCTGAGTGTTATTTCAAAGAGATCCAGGGACCCAGTGGGTGGGAGAGAAACAGGTCCAGTGGGGCTGGGCTAGACAGAGGAAACCTTCCAACTATAGATTGGAAGGGATACACTGTATCCCTTCTGAAGGTATTTCTCTGTGCAGAAGTATCTTCCAGATCTGAGATATGGCCCTAGATCTGCATTTCTGACTAGCTGCCGAGGGCTGCCACAAATTTGGGCTCACATATTGAGACATCATGAGGTAGAGAGAAAGAAAATTGGGAATGTGTCTGACTTTTGAAACCTCAAAGCCCTCCCCCATTGACACACCTGTCCATCAAGACCATACCTCCTAATCCTTCCCAGACAGTTCTATCAACTGGAGGCCAACACATGAGCCTATGGAAGCCATTCTTATTAAAACCACTACATTCCACTTGCTGGTCCCTTTAGGCTTGTGGTCATCCCTGGAGGTGTGCTTTGAAAGTGTAAAGGCCCACATCATTCCCAAGTATCTCTCACTCTTTGCCTCCTTCTTGCGAGTCAAGATGTAGCTCTCAGCTATTGCTCTAGCACCATGCCTGCCTGGGTCCTGCCAGGTTCCCTGACCATGATGGTCATGGACTCTGAAACTGGAATTTATTCCTGATAAACTCTATCTTCTATAAGTTGCTTTGGTCATTGTTGTAATTAAAAAAAAAAAAAAATGGTGTTAGAGAGAAACACACCATGGGACAGAGCTTGGGTAGAGGGTTTTTTTTTTTTTATTGGAAGAAAGTGAATGGAAAAAAGGGGAGAGGGGACACCAGCCTCTGGGGACAGGAGTGGCAGAAGAGAATAGTAGGGGGGCAGAGAGAGAGAAGCAGAGAGAGAGAGAAAGAGAAAGAGAGGAAGATGGGAGGTGGGCAGGGACCTTTTAAAGGGGATCACAGTGAATATGCACAGGCGTTGCTCTTAATGACTGCAGCTGAGTGCATATCCTGTCAGAACCCCAAGGACAGTCTAGTACAGATTCCTGAATACAATAACAATTGTGTTTTGTCTCAGTAGTAAAAGAGTAACTAAGCAAGAAGCTTATGCCAGGGAGTAGGCTATTGCTGTAACAGGCTGTACCATGCTGCATTTGGGAGGATGTGGAAGGCTTTGGGATTTGGGGCTAGGAAAGTGGTTGAACTCTGTAAGCAGAGTTTAATTGGCCGTTACCATGAGAGCTCAGGAGATGGTTATGCTAAGAACAATGTGGACTATGGAGGAGGCTCTGCCTAAGAGGTTTCAGTGGTGAATTAACATTAGTGATGGGGCTAGAAACCATTGTGATATTTTGGCAAATAATGTAGCTGCTTTTTGCCTTTGTCTCAACAATCAGCCTGACACAAAACTGAAGAGTTTTAGACTAATTTCACTGGCAGAGATTTTAAGACACTTGAAATTAGTAATCACTCTTAGGAAGATCCACCACGAAAGAGAGCAAGTAGAGCAAAGAGAAATAAAATGTACAGTTTAAGGAGAAAAGGGGCACCAGGAAATTTAACACAGGAGCCAAGGCTTGTGCTGCAGGAGAGGCTTGAGGGGAAGTGCAATAAAGGGAGTGGTAACCTCAGGGCAAGACCCCACCCACGTGAGCTTCCACCTTGAACTATGAAAATGCCTAAGGATAACTGTTACTATAGCAACGAGCAAAACAGATCTTATGCAAATGTACTTCAAGGAGGAAGCCAGGTTCTATCCCAAACAGGGAGTAGAACATGACAGCTTCTGCCTCATTGCTCTGAGTTTAGTGTCATGAAAGATAAAGGATTTAAGGGCTTGTGCAATCTTCCCTGTGGTTAAGGAGAGCCACTGAAGCCAGACATGTGGCAGTCATGGGAGTCCCTGCACACAGGCCCAGAGAGACCACTGCATGATGCTGCAGAAGTGAAGTCTGAATTGTGTTAGAGATCCAAAGATGTTAGAGAGACCAGAGCTGTGGGATATCTGCCAAGGAGAGCTATAGACAAGGTGTAGAACCAGCCTAAGAGAGAGAAGTGTGTTACAGTCAGCAAAGCTGTAAAGAAAGAGCCACCCAAGCCCATTAGCATCCAACATGGAGCTTCAGGATTTAGTTTTTCCTGCTGGGTTTCACTCTTGCTTTGGCCCAACATTTCCTCGTTATGACCTCTTTCCTCCCTTGTGGAATGGTAATATATATTTTGTGTCATAATATGTTGGAAGTATGTAATTTGCTTTTCGTTTTTTTTTTTTTTTTTTTTTTTTTTTTTTTTGTAGGGGTTTTATAATTAAGAGTGTCCTTGAGTCTCAGGAGAGACTTTGAACTTTTAAACTTTGTTGAGATTGTGAAAAACTATGAGGACTTCTGAAGTTGAACCAAATTCATTCTTTATTATGATGTGGCCACGACCCTATGGAGGCCAGGGAGTGGGATGCAGTAGTTTGAGTAAGAATGACTTCCATAGGCTCATAGATCTGAATTTTTGGTCACAGTGGTGGAACTGTGTGAGAAGGATAAGGAGGTGTGGCCTTGTTGGAGGAGGTGTGTCACTGGAGGTAGGCTTTGAAGTTTCAAAAGTCCAAGCCTTCTTTGCCTCCTGCATGTAGATAATATGCAAGCTTTCAGCAACTGCCCCAGCACCAGGATGGTCTTCCCATTGCCATGCTCCTGATGGACACTAACCCTCTGGAACGCTCAGCCCCCAAATTAAATGCTTTTATAAGTTGCCTTGATCATGGTGCTTTGTCATATCAATAGGAAAGTAACTAAGACAGGGATGTACCTTCTTCCTCTAGGGACAGAGGAGGGGAAATAGCAAAGTCTGTAATGTTTTGGGAGTCTCTTGAACAACCCTGATCCCTAACTACATCCTAAATATTTCTTCTTATATACACAGTTAAGTGTAGTCCTCATCCCTCATCAAGGAAACTTCTTTTAGCAATAGATGGAGACCACAACAGAAAACTGCAACTGATAAAAGTAGATGGTACTGCAAAAATAAGATATGAAGTTATCCTCCAGTCTCTTCATGCATATGTACACATTCTTATGTACACAAATACATCCACATACATGCCAACATGCACACATACACGTGTACACTCGCATACACACCCCACTATAATGAGTCTTTCTCTGAAGAGCCAGCTCCCAAATAACAGCACAGAGACTTATTATTAATTATGAAAGCCCAGCCTTAGCTTAGGCTTGTCCCACTAGCCCTTGTAACTTAAATTAACCTATTTGCTTTAATCTATATCCTGTTGCATGGCTCATTACCTCATCTCTTGGTACTGTTCATGCTTCTTCCTCTGCAAATGGCTGGTGACTCCACCTTCTTCTTCCCAGAGTTCTCTCTCTGCCCTGAGGACCTGTATATACTTTCTGCTTAGCTATTGGCCATTCGGCTTTTCATTATACCAATCACAGCAATACTTTTTCACACAGTGCACAAACATCCCACAATGCTCCACACAAAGAGTAGAAACACAATAGGTATAACAACAATTGCCTATGGATAGCAGGGGAAATGAACTGGAACCTGGATCTGACTCCCCATTTATGTAGAGTATAATTTTAATTTTGCTCAACTGCTTTGAGTTTCAGTTTTGTTGAGAATGAATTGGAAACACTAGACATATGTCATGTGATTTTGTTAGTACTTACTTAATGACTGTTGTAAAACATTTAACATGGAGTCTGGTACCCAGTAAGAGCTGAATCCAGTAGCAGGCCTGTGGATGACAAAAGCAAGGAAATGATGCTATCAGCACCAGCAGAGCCCACCCTGGGAGCCCCTTTTAGGAGCTGCAGGTAGATTACCTGTGAACCATCCATGCCCTGGGCTTATGTAACAGAAAAGAGTAGACAAACCTGATTTTGCACCACTTCAGATAAACCTTTCTATAAGGTATATGATGTCACCACTGTAAAGCCACAAGTTTACTGAGATATCGAGGAATAGACTTACTGGTTAGAGGCCAAAGGACAACAATATAGAGACAGTCAAGGGATGGAAAGAGTAGGGTATGTAAAATGATTCTCCATGGGACTCTTTCTACAAAGTTCAAATATTGGCAGCCCAGCTTAGAGCATGCTGCAGATAATTGGTACAAGGGTTTCTGGGGCAATGTGTTTCAATCATCAGCCAGACATTGTAGGCAGGTTATTTTTAGCCTGATTACTAAACGGAAGAATGTGACTTTGAAAGGCATGCTTTGAGAGTTCTCTTGGGTAGCCAAGCATGTGTGATCATTACTACCAGGAAGTGGGCTTGCTCAAGTGTTCCAGGTTTTTGATATAGCTGTGATTTTCAAACACTCAGCTCCCTTATTGTGTGAGTAAATTCTGTTTGTCTAATCAGATACCGTGAGTTTGTGGGGAAGTACTTGAGGAAATATGAGCAGCATAGACCAACATAGATATCACATTAAATATTCTAGATATGTTGAGGTAAAAGGACTGCATATTATAAATCGGCATGACTTTTCCTGTACCTCAGTTATGAGTCAGAGTTGTTTTTGTTTTTGCAGTTGTAAGTGATAGAAACTAATTTGAGGCAGCTTAGACTGAGGGGAATTTACCAAATTTATAAATGAAAAACTCTGAGGATTCATGGCTGGCTGGCTGCATGCTCTCAAACAACGACCGGGTTAATAGACCTCTTTACCTCATTGCTTCCTGTCCACTGTGTTGGTTTTACACTCTTGTGTTGACTTTGAACTTCCCCAGAAGATCTTGGCATAGCCTACCAGCTTAGCTTCCACACAAGAGAACTAAGTTCTTGAACTAGTGCATCAAACTCTCTGGCTCAGCTTGGCTCATTTGTTGTCCCTCTTCCATCAGTCAGAGAACTGTGTGACACATGGAAAACACATCCCATTTCCCACTATGAAAGATATTGAGCCTGTGGTGTCTGTTATGATTTGAATGAGAAATGCTTCTTACGGGTTCATGTGTTTGAATACTTGGTCCTAGCCAGTGCCATTGTCCTGGGTGGTTATAGCACCTTTACTACCAGGACCTGTCCGTCAACTATAGGCAAATAATGACAAACTTTGAAACTTAGAGGCCACCATTCCTTGCTTTCACTTCCATCTCTGCTTTCCTGATTTGCCAAGACATGAACAAACCAGGCCACAGGCCTCCCTATTGCTCTTTCCTGCCAGGATGGCTATATGCACTGAGATCATGAACCCAAATCAATCCCTCCTTCTTTAAATTGCTTTAATCAGGGTAATCTGTTACAGTAAAGAGAAAACACCATCCCCAGAGAGGATGTCACTAGGGAGGGAAACAGATAGCACCCTGCCATCCTTACTCTGGGAGTCCGAATTTCCCATTGCTTCTTTATGGCTAGTTTTCCTCCAGTAACCCCCCCCACACACACACACCAATAATCTACCTGTAGGATATCTGCCTCTTTCCCACTGATGCTATTCCTCTGGCAGTTGACTATCTGGAGTACATGAACTCCTGTGAGCACTGTGTTCTGGCAGATGACTCTCCACATGAATGAATATTCCTGGAGATTTTCTTCCTGACATGTTGACTTCCTAGGTCTCCATGAAGATCTGCCACTCAACTCCTGTAATCCTTTCACAGTTGTAGAAAGACTGGAGATGCTTGCTACTGTGGGCTCCCAGGAAATGCTGCTTCTGGGGTTTCCTAGGAAACATGGAGATGCCTCTGTGCATCATCTATGTGTCATCACTGGCTACAAAAGAATCGGCCCACAGTTCATCTTAACCAGAGTTCATAAAATGACTTGCCCATATCCAATCTGTAAAATGCATTTAGAGAACTAATTAGTTAGGCATTTTCAAATGAGAATCATTGTCCTTATGTAGAACAATTTACTTTATTCATTGAGAACCTACACAGTACTTGATAAAAACTTTAACATGTTAATGCTCACAGTGAGGTAGAAGGAAAAATTCCATTTGTCATGTGATTAACTGAAGATCTGAGGATTTAGAAAGGGTCTGGGAGACAAAACAGGGACACTTCAATAAAATGCATGTTTTTATTTAATGCAATGAATTAAGTCCCCTGGAACGCTGACTGTAAAGGCCCAACATTAGTGTTGTGGAATATTCCTTTACACTGTGTAAAGATGTGTCGCTGTGATTGGTTTAAGAAAAAGCTAGGCAGGATGTATAGCAGGGACTTCTGAACAGAGAGAGCTCTGGGAAGAAGAGAGGTGGAATCAAAATGAGGACTCAGAGAGAGAACAAGATGCAGGAGAAGTAAAAGCCACGAGTCACATGGCAACAGGTACATGAACAAAATTGGGTTAAGTTGTAAGAGCCAGTGGGGCAAGCATAAGCAGTAGGCCAAGCTTTCATAATTATTCAATGTCTCCATGTCCTTTTTTAAAGATGGAGACCCAAATAAAAGTCCATCTATACATTAGTGGCTGAAGAGATGACTCAGAAGTTAAGAGCATTTGCTGCCTTTGCGGGGTACTCCGGTTCCGTTCCCTGCATTCATGTCAGGCAGCTCACAAACACCTGTAACTCCAGCTCCATGTGATCTGATGCCCTCTTCTTGCCTCTGCAGGCACCCATACATATATGTGATACTCATACACAGACAATTATGCATTTAAAAATAGAAATAAAAGAAATTTTTAAAAAACACCATCAGTTATGTACTTGTTGCTATCTGTCAGACAGCGAAATAAAACCCATTCACTAACTCTACTTCTTGGAAGGGAAAATATTATTATTATTTCCATTTTCTGGTTAAGAAAACTGAAGTACTATGAGGGCTAACTGAAATAACTTTACTGCACAGAACCTTCTGGCCACTGTCATCTGGATCCTGGACTATAATGCACTAAGAATATCAGATATTTTGGCTATCCGTAAGCTATTTTTTTAAATTAAGAATTGAAGGCCTTTGTAGTGTTAGAGATTACATGTGTGTTATAGACTGGAAAAAATTTAAAAACAATTTCCAGAGGAAAAAGCAACAATATCTAAAACTTACAAACACTTTCTGATATATCTTTTATGAAAAGTTTACAGGTTCCATTCTCTGACCCTCACACTGCTTCCTGAGTTAGAAACTGCCCAGTTTAGAGTAAGGAATGAGATTTATAGAGATACTTACTGATGAGCATCTGTGAAGTGAGTGATAGAGCTGTGACTTGAACCCACCAAGCGACAACCTTTGCCTTTTATGTCTTGTGCCATGACAATCAACTAGATCTTGTTATCTCCTGGCAGAGACCAATCACAGCCTCTTATGATCCAATTACTTTGTGTGTATGTGTGCATGTGATCATGAGTGTAGAGGTGAGATGTCAACCTCAGGTGTCAGTCCTCGGATGCCATCCACCTTTGGGGGTGGGGAGGATCTCTCACCAACCTGGAACTCTTCAATTTACATAGATTTGCTGGCCAGGGAGCCCCATGGTTCTGTCTGTCTCTACCTCCCAAGCATTGACATTGCAAGTTTGTAATGCCATACCAAGATATGAGAATCTGAACTCAAGTTCTCATGCTTGTTAAACAAGAACTTTGCTGATTGGGGCATCTCTCTAGATCCTAAATTATCAGGTATTAGTCATCAATAATATTATTCCCTCCATATATATATATGGAGGGAGAGAGGAAGGAAGGAAGGAAGGGAGGGAGGGAGGGAGGGAGAGAGGGTTGAGAGTCTCGCTTTGCAGTCCAGACTAACCTCTGACTTGTGATCCTCCTGCTTCTGCCTCCTGAAAACTGAGATTTACAGGTGTAGATCACTACACCTTGATTAATCTTTTGAAGTTTTGTTTTCTAAGTCCTTTTAAAGCAACCCATGATGGGTGTTTCAATTAAAATTCAATTGCAAAAGGAAAAGAAGTGAGGACAGTGACAGTGCGGTGTTTCTCATTCATCCTATATATTTTTCAACAGCTTTGTACACCATGGTCTGCGCTGGGTATGAGACGCAGAGCATTCAGATATGCCCTGGGGACAGATGTCGAAACAGGACAAGGCCTTTGCTACATGCTGACCCAGAGGAAAGGTAGAACTACATTGGAGGGGGGTGATAGGAGATATCCTTCTTTATATTTGTTTCTCTCATTGGTTGATGAATAAAACACTGATTGACTAGTAGCCAGGCAGAAAGCATAGGCGGAGCTACTAGACCAGAAGAAGGCTGGAGAAAGGAAGTCATAGAGAGTCCGTGGAGAGACACCATATAGAGACTGGGAAGATAAGGCATGCCATGTGTTCTCTAGTAAGATAAGGCCATGTAAAAATACATAGATTAGTAGTTCTGGATTAATAAATAAGAAGCCCTAGCCATCAGCCAACAGGTTTATAATTAATATAACACCTGTATGTTTATTTGGGTCAAAGTGGCTGAGGGACCAGATGGGACAGAAACCTCCATCTACAAATGGCACCCAATAGGAGGTATGAACATATATACAGAAGGACATCCCCCATCAGTGGGGGTTTGTCGGATGTACTTGTGCCAGCCAGGGAAGAGATCTTCCAGCAGCTACTTATGGAAGACAAGTGCTCCAACAAAGGAATACATTTATAAAACTATATATTTATTTTAGAACACCTTCAATTGCAAATTTTAAAGAATATCACTTAAGAGATACTGAAACAGTGCACAATCAGGTAGTTTCCAGCATTGGCTCAGATGTTCCCTGGTCGCACAGGTCTTTTATGTCTGCTGTGTTTGTTAGTTGCTGATACTTTCCCACCCATGCATCTTCCCCATT